GCATTTGCGAGGTATGCATCAATTTTCACATTATCACGACAATTTAAAAAAACTGTACATCTTTTTATGTTTTTCTTTTAACGTAATAACGGTAATAAAAGGCAAAAATGGCACATGATGTTGGTCGACGAATGATCAAGTGATCAATTAGTTCAGTTTTGTTTTCAGAATGTATGATTCATATTGGTCTAAAATATATAATTCGTTTGTTGTCATATCTTCCAAAAAGAAACAAGAATCAATAAGGTCACTTTTCGATGCATGGGAGCTACCCGAAATAACCATGTACGTGAAAATAACAACATTAGTATGGTTGAAGCACTGCATCCCAACAGTATTAATAAATAATATTTTGCCGAAATCTGATTATAATAACTAGCTAAAGTACTTTGACATGAAATTCAGGTTGAGAGTTTTTTGTTTTTTATCACTTCTCCTGAAGCAAATTTGTATTATTATATTATCATAGTTGGATGTTTGCTAGAGCACAGTATAGGTTATACAATGATATATAAATACTAACAGATGATCCAATTGAATCTATGAAAAGGTTGAACAAAAACATGTGTGGAAAAAGTGTGTGCCATAAATTGGTCATATTTTGAAACTTATTTCTTTGACATAGATAGCAACTGATTTCGAGTAAAAATTAACGTCTTCATTTAGTATTCATTACTCTTATCACTAAATTCAGAAATATTATCCGAACTGTTTTCATTTAAAGTAGTTTATTCAGTTATTTTGTGGTTCGATATCATATTGTTGTTATCAGTTGCATCTTCATCTCCTTTGTTTATGTCTTCTAATACTTCGTGCTTGTCTGCAGTCTTAATATTATGTACAAAGTGTCGTGATAAGAATTTGGCATTATTGGACACATTTCAGTATTAATAAAATATTTATAATCACTTTTCCCATTATTTCAATAGAGTTCTTCGTTCTCAACGTCATCTAGGTTAAGCACTCTTTTTGTCAATAAAAAAATGTCCTTTTTTGTTATAACTTAAGTGAATAATAAGAACAACAAAGTAAATCGCTATTGGCTAACGATAGTTACTTTGTAGAAGTATGTATTCGCACAAAACAAAAATTTAGTCAACATGTGATATTGATAGAAGACAATCAAAATAAGTTGAGTGTCGTATATACGTAAAATGGGTTATTTGATCTATTTGTTTCTAGCTAACCCTTTTATTAAAATAGGAATAGTTGTAGAGTTTAGCGGTCTCTACACTGTAAACTAGAAAATAAGTTCTAGAGTTTAATGAGGGATATTCTAGGAATGCCCATATGAATTCAGCAATGAAATTTTAATTCTTTGAAAATAAGACATTCGAAACATTAAGAATAAGAAATTTGATTTTCTAATTAGAAAATCAAAAGTGAATTCATATGGGCATTCCTAGAATTTCGAATTGCATTTAGTAATTGGAGTATTTTCTAGAAATTAGAAAATCTACGAAGACTTTCTGTTTTCAAGAGAAATGCATCGAATAAAATAAATAAATAATTTTAATATAAATACATACAAAACGGACTGACTCACGCCACAACTGAAAAAATATAATTTCTCATCTCATTAGAGTTGCCGAAGAAAATAAAAAATTCGCAACACTATTGGCTGACTTATATATTTGAATGAACAATGACTCTATAGTGGTCATTGTTCAAATGATTTTCCAGAAAGTTGCTTTCATTTTTGACTTTTTCTAGGATTCACATTGATTTTCTAATAACGTTGAAAATCATTTTTTTAGAAAATCAAACTGAATTTCTATCATTGTGAAAACCAAGCATTTTCAAGATACTGAAAATTCGTCGAATGAATCATAAAACCTTAAAAATACTTCAACTCATTTAAGATCGATTTTTCAAAACATAGAATTTTAAAAAAAAATTACAGTGTATACAACCACAGCGATAAGACATAATAAATATCTTCTATTATATGCAACAAATGAAACAGATCAAATTTTCAACCTGAATTTGATGTCAAAGAACTGTAGTCCTAATCAAGTTTGCCATAATAATCACGACTATCTACCTCAGAAGTTTCAAAAATGTAACTTTACAATAGGAAGCAAGTTATTTATATTTGGGTTCTCACTCTAAACCCGCGTTTTTTCACACAATTTAGCCCTCAAAACATATCGTTTAGATGTAATTCACAATATCCTTTTAGAATGTGCATGAACGAGGGCACATCAGAAGTATTCAAAAATTTGAAACAGTAACATGCAAGACGAATGAACATAGTTGTTCCTCTTTTGAATGCTTCCTATGTACTATACACTTTTACATGTTGGCGAGACTATGCAAGTTATATTTAAATTTTTATGATTTATTCACATGTATCAGTGAATTGGTAATTAAAAGTTTACTTCAAACTGAAACATGAAAAAGACGAGCAAAATCACCTTGCTTTGCGGTGAGAGTTTAACTCTAATATTCGATACAAGAACTCCTTTTTTATTGGCTAGTGAAAAAGTTATTTGTTATAATAATTGTAATTCATCGACAACACGAGTCAAGTATCATGTTGTTGATATTTTCCACGTAAAAAAATTAAATATAAATTATTTTCGTTTTTATTGGAAGATCGATTAAAATTCTTGAAAAGAAAAAAATCAATTTTAATTATTAAAATTAAAAAAAAATCTTGTATTACACCGATAAAAAACATACCATTTTAATCGAGGATAAATCACAGAAAAAGACCAATTTAACTCAAGCAGGCCTCCACACATCGATTGAAATCATAGGCTAAGATTACATTTTCAGCTCCTGGTAAAACGTATGAAAGATACAAAAAATCATCGATCGATGTTATCTTGATAGAATTCCTTGAATCAATGACACAGGCATAATTCACTAAATCAATCTTAACAAGATAACAATGATTAATGGATTCTAATAGGTTTATCAATGACCGAAAATATAATATTAAACAACATCCATTGTTGACTATATGTATCCGACGAATAATCAGTGAAAGAGCCCTTGCCTCGATTTTCAAACCATCGTGAGCTAACAGGAATGCTACGCACCATATTTGAATTGCTCGTAAATATTTCATTTGGGGAAAATAGTTTGAAATCTATTGTAAATGATCTGATCAAATGATTGCTGTTTGAAGAATGATCAGTCCTAATGGTTGTCATGATTTTACATCATTCTGAGTACACGAAAAGGTTTCGAACGACACATTTTATCTTGAGGGAAGTAGATTACAATACAATATTGAATTTTGTTAACAGTTCCAATCATTTTTACTTACAACAAGGTTTTTTTCGATGTACAGTAGCGCATTTATTAAAAAGCATATTACTCTTGAAAATGTATAAATAGCATCCGATTCGTTTCTTTTGTGAACTCCTTTATAAAATTTCCTGTAATATTCATAATTGCAGCAATGCACTTCAAAATTATTTGCTTTTACAAATGTAGTAACTAAATGTGATTTTTCTGAATAACCATCATTCGTAGTGACGGAATTAGGATTTTGATCTAGTGGAAGTTGAGCTCCTTATCTATCGACTAAAGCTTGTCTATAGTAGTACGAAATTTTTTCCGAAAGCTTTCAAACTCGATGCAGTACTTTGCGTCCTTACATTCTATATAATCACTTATTCCTTATGATTTTTTTATATATAAATCAGCACATGATTAGCTTTTATTTTAAATTTGTTTCATAATAACTTAATCATATTGACATAATTATGCTATTTTTGTGTTGCTTGGCGAACATATCGACAACATTTTCAAAATCTATTTGAAACTGTCTTTCTATAGCTAACAGACTAAGATCACTAACTCTTTCATTACCCATCGAATTTCGTGCATAACTTTTAATTAAGTTCATTTTGGAAAAGGATCTTTCACAAGCGACAGATGTCACAGGAAATGTAACAGCGTCTTTGATCAAAGCAGTAGCTGAAGGAAATTCTTGTTTCATTGGCTTTAGTGCATCGAGTAGATCCAGTACAGTTGACAATTTAGTATTTTTAATCATAGTTTTTTGTAACAGAAATTTCATTTCGTATCATGTTTTTTTCTAATGATAAGTGACCAATTAATGGTTGTAACATTTTAGCATCTAAAACTTTTTCGTTAGGCGGTGATAAAGATGTGATTCCGTTTCCTATTTGTAAATTATGAGAAGAAAATCATTTCTTTAATTCAATCAAAACAGAGTCAACCGTTAAAAAGTACATAGCTATTCGAAAATTTTCTTCATTGGAAAAGTATTGTCGATGTCTAATCGATGCCGTAATAATACAGTTTTTAAAACGTGATGGAATTGTTCTTTGACATCTCACTCTAACAGTCTCATTCATATCAACACCATTTTCATTTCTAAATGTTATTGCTTTGTGAAATAATTCTGTAAACGAATTTTCATCTCTCATAAGATTTAATTGTTCATAAATTGTTGTGATGAGACTGTGTGCACTACTGAGATGAGCGCATTCTCCTTTCAAATAAAATATCAAAATTACAGTACTATTAATTTTCTATGACTTTGTAACTGATCTGAAAGAATTTAAATGGAACCGAATGAACAATGCTACTATGAACATTGGGTCTTTCAGCAAACCTCTTACATTCACGGCACGACCACCTTCAGCTTTTGTCAAATCTTGTAATGCCTTAATAACTGCTGAAAAATTACATTTAATTGAATCAAAAGATTGAAATCTTGAGTCCCAATCTGCGTTTGTCCGTATTTTTAATGTTAATGTTGTATCTAATTAAAAAAGTACGCACAAAACCATACGAAAAAATGCCTATTGTAAATCTCTTAATCCAATTTCAGGAGTTTCTGCCCATCACAAAAATATTGATTAGTAACACTAGATGCTGTAAAATAGTTATGAATCTTAGAAATAATAGAAAAGAATTCATCAATAGATGATACTAATGAACAAACATCGCATATAGCTAAATAGAGGCGGTGTACCATACAGTGAATATATATATATGGGTCTTGCTATAAAATTCTACTGTAAGATTACATGTACTCCATTATGTTGTCTTAACATCACTGAAGCTCTAAAGAAAAAAATATGAAAGATGACACAACTCAAATATCTAAATTATCTTCAACGTACCCGTCATAGCATTCAGCAATATACATTGATAAATTAATATTGTGCTTCATCAAAAAATTGCTTACTTTTTTTGCTAGTGTAGCAACATCAAATCGATGAAGACGAATAAATCCCATGAAAAATTCTTCAATTTGATACTGATCATCAATTAAACAAAGACAAATAGACAGTTGTTTATTGTGACTGGCATATGTTGCTTCATCAGCTAGTAACGCGTACATATTTTCATTTAACTAAAACAACAAAATAATTTTTATATAGATGAAGTGAAAGCAATAGTAATACAAGAGAATTTATTTACATTCTATTATAGAATATAAATTAATTTTGAATTGCAATTAGGAAATATTTTTCTCTTACTTTTTCAGTAATTTTATCACTATTTGCTTGACAATTATGTGTAATAACTTCTTTTGAATTGAAGGTGATAGATATGTAACATTGCGTGCGCTGTCCTTCAAAGTAGCTCTAGCTAATGGATCAGTTTTAGCAGACCACTTTAATATTTCTATCAGATTACCACGATTATATGAACTGATATAAAAAAATATTAGTTTAATTTATAAATTGCAAATGTCTCGAGCAATACTCTATTGTCCGTTTCAGAGTAAAGTGAACGCGGGTATGTTTTTTGAATAGTTTTAAAACAACAAGGGAGAAATAGATCGAGTTTTTAGCACTATCTGAAGTCGACATTACTCTATCTTTTTGCAAAGTCAATGAAAAATCTCAGTCACTTTTCTCCTTGGACACATTCTACGCTTTATAAAAGAGTTTCATCTGTCATGAAAATAAAACGTTTTCTCAACTGTAATATAATAGACAGATAGCCCAATTTTCCCTTTATCGATCCACGCAAGGCCAAGATCGATACCTATTTGCATTCAAAATATATAGAGATTTTACCAAAGACTATTTACCAATTTTTTTCAAAATCCGAGCAGCTAACTAAATATTTTCTTCTATAAGCTCTTAGTCGCCTTCAACTTCATGACATCATTTATTGACCTTTGGAGGTCTTTTTGCTACTAGAAACATCATCAAAAACCACACAGTGAATTTATTTTGATAATAATGAATCAATATCTTAAGTTAGTTCTCTTCAACTTTTATTTTGTTCATGTTTCTATCGTAAAAATTTTTCTGAATCCAAATCAGTCAGCCGAGAAGAATTTTACGATGTTCACATATATTCACCATAATATCATTAATCATCAGTATCATTTGTACTAGAAGTGATATAATCGTCGTCGTCATGTTCATTTATTTCTTCTTTAATCTCTTCGACATAAATATAATTCTGCTTTGGAAATATCTTTTGCATATGATATGTCATGATCATGAAGCCAGTCAGCTATCATGTGTTTTCGCCATGAACGTAGTAATGGTTTTGTATCATCTTTTACTTCACGATGTCAAGGAGCATTATCAATAATAATAGTTACTGCGCGGGTTTTTTCTTTCTAGAAGGTGTCACAAAAGATCACGAAATCAAAAATCTTACCAAACTCTTTTTGTAACTTGGAACAAATTTGGCTGATTCAATATATGAAATGTTTCGAACCCATTGATTGCTCTTGATCGCACTTATACATATCAATCGATGAATGGTGGAAATCACTCTCATTTATCAACACACTTATAGCAGGACGAGTTTCTAAATTGGGTGTTTTTGTCAGTTTTATACTATATCAATTTAAAAGAAAGTTTATCCATACCTTGATTTGTGCGTGTTCTCCCATTACCATACTTATCAACTCAGATGGCTCATTTTTCCTCTCTACACTTGATCCATGTTTCATCACTAAACGGAACAGAGTACTTGAAAACGTAAAGAACAATTGGGAATTGCTGATAGTTTATCAATGTTCCATTCCGATAAATTTCATGTCACTTTCGAAAACGGAAGGCTCTTTATGCCATAAATATTATAGAATCCATTGGTATACATATTTTGCTTGTTCTTTTGTATGAGAGTTCAATTTTCTTCATTACTCTACATAGTACCGCGGTACTTTTCACTGAAAAGTCTGGACTGTCGGTGCGAATGCATGTAAGTAATTTGCTAGTATTTAGATATATTTTTTCATACTACATCAGATGAAAATAATATCTAAACAATTGAGATTCACTATTTAGATTTTAAAGATGAATTAGTAGAATTTGCTTCATTAAATCTTCTTCATGTTCAGTTAAAGAAATTTTCAAACTAGATTCCCCGCCATGTTTTAACGGGGACTTCGCAACTGCACGAGGAGTATCCACACTTGTAAAATGATCATTTTTTCGTGTTATAAATGGTGATGATGATCATGAACGCAAACGCTCAGTTGTATATTATTGTGCAAGTACATAGGGCTGATGTTGTTGTTCAAGTAGCTTATGTTTCAGAACCTTTTGTTGTTCTTCTTGTAACTGCTTCATTTCATTTTTCAATTTCGCCATTGAACCATGCGATATTTGAAGTGCAAGTATTACACGATCATTGACACTATATAATGGTATTTTTGGTCCATTTTTGTCTCCTTCAATAAATTGAGTTATATTGAATATTAATTCTTTTGTTTCTTGACTATAATAATGATCTGTCGACACTATCGTACTCAATCTGAAAAACAATATCATAAATCACAGCATTATATATCGATATCGAATGGCGGTTCGCTCCTATTGTTGCATTTTACTATGATTCTCTACAGCTGTGTTTCTCAATATTCTTTTCTTGTCGCTTGAGGCTGTTCTCTGATTGCCTGTTTAAGAGAGTATGGATCTTGTAGTATTGGTTCAAAACAAAACGAAGTCAGTGCTACCCACATATCAAGACGGGTGCAGATCAACGCAAAAATAGGTTAGCTTATCAAAAAACAATACGTAAGTTATTCACACAGTGATCTGCACTGCTTGTGTAATACAATCACATTAAATTAAATTATTCCGGTACGCACTATTATATCATAGATTATTAACTGAACTAACTTAAGATATTAATTTATTATTATCAAAATAAATTCAATGTATGGTTTTTGATAATGTTTCTAGTAGCAAAAAAACCTTCGAAGGTCAATAAATAATGTCATGAAGTTGAGGGCGACTAAGAGCCTATAGAAGAAAATATTTAGTTAGCTGCTCGGATTTTGAAAAAATTTGGTGAATAGTCTTTAGTAAAATCTCTCTATATTTTGAATGCAAATATGTATCGATCTCGGTACTGCGTGGGTCGATAGAGGAGAAACTGGTCTATCTGTCTATTATATTACAGTTGAGAAAACGTTTTATTTTCATGACAGATGAAACTCTTTTATAAAGCGTAGAATGTGTCAAAGGAGAAAAGTGACTGAGATTTTTCAT